TAGGGAAATATCAGTCCCTTTTGGCCTGCAAGGAAGGGTTTCAGAGTACATTCCTGGGTGAGTCTCCCCCAGCCTGAGTTTCTTGGTAGCTCAACGGTGCCTGTGCGCACTCTGAGCACTCCTGTGGGTGCGCCCTGCCTGCTGGGCCACTTCTGCCTTGTCTGAGCTACCAGCTCTGTGGCAATAGGACTGGTCTGACTAGAAATGCCTATAGAAACTCGGGATAGAAATGGTTGTGTCTGCAGTTGCTGCTGGTGACTCAGGAGGGAGGAGAGGAAGGCAGCGTTTACCTTTAGGCACAGATTCCTCTCTGTTGGGGAGCTTGGACACGCTGGAGTTCCTTGTTTCTCCTGGTGCCCACAGCCCTGTGTGGTGTCTGATGGGTCTCCGCATCCCTGATTTGTACCCGGCCATAGAGGTGCAGCAGCTCTGCTCAGTGGTGAGGTGCACCCACACTGCTCGTGCAGCTCCCAGACCCACAGACACCTAGAGCTCTGCTCTGTCCCTGTGGCTCGCTGTACAGTTCTGCACAGGCTTTCTCCCACTGAAGGGCTGAGCCTGCACTGCAGGATACCCTCATGCTATTGCTGGGCCCCACTGGGGCTGGAGCACAGCAAGGTGCGCAGGCCTACATGGCTTGGTTGTGAACCAGATCGCTTCCCCCTTGTGGGCTCTGTGTTCCCTGTGGGCTGTGGTCTGGTGAGCACAGCCAGCTCCCTACAGTTCCCCCTGGGGGGGCACTTGCTTGCTGGATCCTTGCTGAGTTAGACCATCCTCCGCACCTTGGTGGTCTGGTCTAGGGTGCCCAGCTCCTCTGCTTGGCTACTGGCTGCAGCTGGAACAGGGACACCGTGAGCAGGGCCTCCTGCCACTTCCCACACTGTCCCTGCTGTTCTCATCTGCAGGATGCAGCACATGCTTTCCCTCGGTGGAGCTCCAGTCCACTGGCACAGGAAATTATCCTTTCTCCAGCCTTCCCTCTCCTCCCACCAGTTCCAGAGCACTTAGGAAGGGATAAGGCCCTTTCCTCCCCACTCACGTGGCCAGAGCCAGGCCTGCACACAGATTCATTTATTTTTCACTTCACTGTGTTGGGGGAAGAAGGGGGGTGCTCTGCCTTCAGCCACACATCTTTTCAGGGTCAAGGTCTGGATGGATGACTTTGGTTCTTACAGACTGCCTTTCTGGCACTCAGCGGTTTGCACTGCCAAGGAGTCTGGGCCCTTTATTGCTGGCTCCAGAAGTCCCCACAAGTCCATGCAATCCTCTGGTCACAGCCAGTGGCACCACTTTCTCCTTCTGTTCCCTTCCACTTTCCCCATAGTCTGGAGATGAACGCAGGGTGCCTGTAATCCCACAGAGATGCACTCGTGGCTGCAATGTGTCCATATGCATTGTTCACATCCAGTGGCATAGCCCTGGAAGATAGGCTCCTCTGTCTCTCCCTCCCCCAGCGGTTCGGACTGGGCTCTTTCCTCAGTGCTGACTTCTGCTAATGAGGATTTGGGGTAGCTGCATTTATTCCCAACTGATATCCGGGAGACCAGCACTGTCCAGTGTCCCCCCATCAAAGGGGGCAAGGATCCTTGTTACTGGAAATAAGCAGCTTTGAATCTGGTCAGTTAAATCCTGCTTAGTCGCTCTTGTAACCTAATCATCACACATAAATACAGAGTCCTGAACTGTATTGGCTCCTACCCAGTGCAAAAGGGAAGAGGGTGAGAGAAAGAGACGGAATAAGGAAGACTTTCCATCATGGGGGTGTTTACAAGCAAACATAAAGCGCTGGAGGTAGGAGAGAGAGATCTACCTGGTGGGGCAAGGAAACACCAGCCGCAAAAATACCCCTTTACACTTGTTCTGGAAGGTGATCAAGCACCTGGTATTGTTTTGCCTTTGGAGTTCAGTGTCCAGCTCCTTTGTCCATGCTGTGGTCAGGAAGGCTGGAGGAGAAGAGCTGAGGGGGGGGGACACACACACCAGGCTGTCCAGGGACTCTCTCCAGAGATTACAGCCTTCATGTTCTGGGTATACCCCCTCACTTTGCAGCAGCAGTTCAGCCTGGGTTACACTGATTAGTTGCGTGTGGTGTTTCTTTTAACTCCCCAGGGAACCACCTCCTGCTTCTGAACTTCAGGTTCCAGCAGGAGAGAGGGCCTGGAGTTACTGAAGGCGGCACAAAGTCTCCTTTTTCCTGGCAGATCAGGCTCTGGCCGCAGATCTCAATTTTACAACCAAACCACATTCAAGAAGTCATTTCCCCTTTCCTGGCTTTGAGTCCAGGTTATAAGTCATAAAACCAAAAGCATGGTTTCAGCTTGGAGATCATTTACAAGTGCTTGCTCAGCAATGGGCTGGAAATCAAAGCAACGGCTGCCTGGGCTGCCCACACGGCTGCAGGGCTGAGCATATTTCTCTGGAGCCATTAGCCAAACCGTGCAGACGTGGTGTCTCCTTATGCAGGTCTGACATGCACATGCCAGAGCAGGTAGATTGAACCGGCCCATTCACCTATCCACTGTCCTCCACAGAGCTCGCAGCCCTGCCAATGTCTGTGTGCCTCATGGCAGCTGTTCGTCTTCCTTGGAGTGCACAGGTCAGCGTGGGAAGGACCATGGACGTCATGTCCCATCCTTGCTGCTGTGATGTCCCTGTCCTGGGAATGCTACTGTGAGCCTCTGGGATTGCAGGCATCACCTGCTCCATGGGCAGCTGTGCCTATTGCTCCCAGCTACCCCCTGCCACTTGGGCTCCAGAGGTAGACAGGCACTTGCACACTAATCCCAAGAGCCCTGTCACCCAACCAGGCGGGAACCCAGGCTCTGCAGACAAAGTCCCTGAGGATTTCCACAGGGCTCTCCCCCCCTGCCACTGGCCAGTCTGGCCGTGCCCTCCTCCCTGCCCATGAGGAGGGGATGCACCAAGCCAGCATCGGAGTTACTCTGGAGAAACCATGATGGCGGAGGGCGGCAGCACTCCTTTACTATGTCCAGCACGACTGCTGTCTCTGACAATATACCTGCCGTATATTTTGCAAGTCTGATACGATCTGAAGTCTAGCCGGGTTGTCATTTCTACTGCCCATTTCCAGAACGTTGCTGTCACTTACTGTTCTCTCGTACCCAGTCACTGGTTTATCCCCACCCACCCACCCACCTTGTGTAGTGAAAAGCCTCTTAGCTTTTCACTTCCCTAAGTCAAGGTGTAAAGATAGATACCCAAAAGAAATAGAAGAACAAAAGCCAAATGATAGCCTGGGGAGGAAGAGGGCAGATCGCTGCCAAGAATCCACCCAGGACTGCAGCAGCTTGTGCTTGCTGGGTACGGGGAGAGCTGGAGTTGGGCTGAGGGGCTGGCGGGGCGTGGGTGTGGGGAGGTGTGCAGGGAAAGGCTTCAGCACCCACAGGCCTCGGGCAAGACAAAACAGAGCGAGGCAGGAGCACCCTCTGCAGAGCAGCTATCAACATTTTTTACATTTACGCTGTTACTGTGAAAACATGATACCATCAATCACCTTTGCATTGTGTTATAGCTCACGAATTTTTTCTTCTACAGTTGAGGTGTCAATATCGTCACTATAGTCATGAGTAGTGTTACCATTGTTTTTGTTTTACTCTAAAAAAGGTGTTGATTTTTAACACATATCAGTTGTAATCACGCATTATAGCATTAACATTTGGAAGCAGTACACATATATAGGCATACGTATTAAGCTTTGGTTACTAGACAAGTACAAACATCCTCTAGTACTTATCTATACTATCATCTCCCTTCTAAATTGTCTATCCCATCCAGTTATGATGTCTTATTATCCATTATCTCCCCCTCCAATCTGCATATACGTTAAACAATTCACTGTTTTTAACTGCTAAAATACTGACTGCACTTAGTCTCTTTGTTTCAAAACTTTGACCTCTCTGTTTTATACCCTCCTAGATTTCTTCTACACATGCAGTCACGCCTTAAAGCACACTGCTGAAGCAACAATACTATTTCTGGGCCTGAGCTGTTGCTTATCGTATTGAAGTCCTATAGGGGACCACCCTAGAAGATAGATAAACTGTGAAGACCTGTCTCAGCAGACTGCCAAAGGCTAATCTGATGTATGTGTCTAGTTTATACCTACATCACTGGATGAATTTTTAACTTTTTGCATTCTTTGCTGGATATTTTCTGATTTAATAAGTGTTTTATAGCTGTGGGGAACTTCAGTTACTACAAAACAAAACATAATTGCAGGAGAAGAATAATCTAACCCCTTGATCTCACATTTTAAATCCACAATCTCTGTAGCAACAGCCACATTTTGCCCTCCAAGTTCTTCCTTTGCTATTCTTCATTAGAACCTAAAAGGAAGGCTGGGCAGGACACCAGGACTCCAGCCCCCCCACCTGCATCATTAGCAGGTAGAGGGCAGGAGAAAGGAAGGTCTGCCCCCTCTCCAGTGCCAAAGAGGGAGTGCGCAGAGCACGCTGAGGTCCTGGGTGTCTTCCCCGCAGCATAGCTCCCAGCTGCCCCCACACTCCTGTTCCACCATCCAGCCAGCAGAGACCACCACCACCATTTCTACCACCCTTCTGAGCCGCCACCACTTCCAGGGCCATACGAGCCTACCGTGTCACCACCAGTCTCAGCAGTGAGAGCCATCGCTGGGAGCGCCTGGTCTGGAGCCAGCACGCACACTGCTCCACACCTTCCAACCCCACAGTGCAGCAGGACCCACTGCCTACTGAAAGACACAGGCTGGGCTACTCCACAGCATCCCTGGGACCCTCTCCCTGCTGGTGCCTTCTCTGCAGCACCCTCCTCCCCTCCCCATCCATTCTCAGTGAACTGGGAAGAACATCCATCTCCTTTCTCCTCATTGCACACTTTCTCCCTCTGTATGCAGTTCCCTGGTGTATGCCTCCCTGTGTTTCCATCTGGCTCCGCACTCCCCCACATCCCGGAAGCCTAAAGAGCCAGTCCTCTCCCCTTCTGGCACTGCCTCCCCCTCAGGTGGGCACCTGCCACCACACACCTCCCTGTGTGCGCAAATAGTGGGAGACACTACAGGCGGCAGCTGGGTGACAGTCTTTCCTCCTGCAGTCTCTCCCACTGTTTGCCCACACAGGGAGGTGTGTGGTGGCAGATGCCCACCTGAGGCATCTTCCCTTTGGCTGGTGGCTTTGGGTCCTTTTGCTACTAATGCACTTACACAAGCCCTTATCCCTCACTAGTTTCAATGCCAGCTGAGCTTTGGCCTTGACCTTTGAGTAACATCTACCCATTCCTCTGGGATAGCTGACTCCTGCTTCCACTCTCTGTGAACTTCCTTTTCACATCTGAACTCAGGCAGGGATTCCCCGTTTGGCCAAGCCAGCCTTCTGCCTCACCTGCCTCAGTATTTAGAATCATGGAATTTGTCCAGCTTGTTTAAATATTTGGGCACCTTACATGTTAGTCAAGGTAAAAAAACCTTCATTCTGGTTGAAAAATCTTTATTCACATAACACATCACATGAATCACATCATGTCCCACCCTTGTCCCTTTATGTATAAAACACTAGTAAAAAGTTTTTTCCCAGAGGCCAGTTAATTTCCAGTGTCCTCTCGTGAGAGAGCAGTTCATCCAACAGCTGGAACGCTTGCTGTGCCACAGAAGTTCAGAAGCAGAACAGCTCTGTTGAAGGAAATGTAGTCTTTAGTAAGAAAGGAAACTTTACAGACAGCTGTAGCAGCAACGTGTAAAGCCACCAGGGTTTCAGCTCTGTCTCATTTCATGTTACCAGGGATCTTGATCCTACCTGTGCTCCTACTGCGGCACGCTGTAATGATGAGAGAGGCTTTGAGGGTTTTACACTAACCGTCTGAGATAGCACAGATGCTCTTGTAAATCACTTTGGACTTAACATCTAGTACAAATTTGTTCAAAGTTGCACGTCATCAAATCCGGTTACCCAAGTGGTTCCTTCAAGCCCCACATCTCGCCTTTGGACACGGTGAATAGCAAGGACACTTTGCTTACAAAAGGGAAATTAGCCTACACAAGAACAAGGGGAATCTAAAAGGGCAAAGTAAATGAACAGAGAAACGTATTAAAATGCCAAGCTAGTCTCAAAAACAGAAAAAAAATCCAGTTCCAATTATTTTATGGCTCCTACCACAAGCCAAAAAAGGAAACAAATTGGCTAGGCTAGAGTCCCACCTTGGTATAAGACAAATCCTGCTACACCAGGTCACAACTATATAAACTTTAAACACCATCAAATGACATCCTTTAAACACTAAGCCATAAAGTTGTGAAATCAAGGTGGAATTGGACCAGTTTATCGGAACAGAAAAAGATTTGCCAGGGATCCCTTACGAGGTGCCCAACCGATCTCATAGAAGATGATCTCGCAAGTGCATAGTACGCTAAATCTATCAGATTTTGTATTTAAAATAAATCTAAGGTAAATTTAGATTTCAGATTTAGATTAAAGATACAGTAAGACAGACGATCTATCACTGCAGGCTTCCTCTTTTCCTTTTAATTCCCTAGTCCCTCAGGCTCAAATGAAAACCGACTCTGTACTTGGTCTGCTAATGTGTTTCCTTGGGAAAGCCTGGCAGACTTGGCAGACTGAGGAACACGAAGAGCACAAAACACGTGAGAAGCATCAAACACATCGAGAAGCACAAAACGGACCGCCAGAAGGCGTGCAGCACACAGGATATTCAACAAGCATTGAGGCTTTTCCTGCTTCCTCCGGCTGAACCATCCGACAGGATTATCTAGGCACTGATGGCATCTTGGCCTCCACTCCTGTGTCCACGGCGCAGCCAGCTCGCGCTCCGACTGCTGACTCTGCTCTAGCCCTGGCTGCCAAGTATGACGCTGACTGGCCTGTGACAGCTGATCAAATTGGGTACTCTCATCTGGGCTTTAAAGCTATGCCACAGCACACAGTCAATACTTCAGTTATGCAACTGTAAACAAGCACGGCTAAAGCCTGTTTCACTTGCCCATATTAACTGAAAATCATTTTTTACAGTTATTAATACCATTTCTCCAAGTTTGCAATAGGCTACATAATAAAAGCAAAAGCTTATTGCAGCAAAGATACTTGTAATCTGTTACTAATTAAAAGACCCACAACCATTCCAGACAGGAAAAAATCGAAGGAATTCCCAGCATTATGCCACGTCATCTGAATATGACACTTCTGTGCCACTGCCAGACATCTGGAAATGCTCCAGACTTGTACACAAACCGGGATGGGAATGTATCTGAAGGCTGATTGAAATGGATGCTGCCCAAAATGTCAGGATGGCCATGCTAACAGAGCCCCCCCAGTCTGTAGGGAA